AACGATGGCTCAATCCTAAGGTGTGTGTATCCGTGCCGAGTGGATGAATGACACTGAGCCTATCAGCTGTCTCTACGGTACGCAGAATCTGTTTCAGGTGAAGGAACAAACCCCCCCACGAGCAGGTTAGCAAACGTTTGCGCCCAAGTGATGATTCACCAAAACCAGAAGCGAAAAAGCCCTGCACGGTTGAATCTAAGGCATCGTCAGGTGTAGCTGATGAAACAGCAGAGCATATACTTTGTGCCTGCCCCGCTGGGGACCGAATCCGGTTTTTAGAGTTCGGCGGAGCCGTACTCTTGTCGTCTGACCTGATAGACCATTAACCATACAAACTGATCGGCTTCGTTAAGAGGCTGGGTTTGTTTGGTCGAGTGTGAATAGGTGTCAGCCACAATAAACCCTTGTGGGTTGCGGTGGAGGGTCGAATAGACTAACTCACTTTGGACCTAACCTAACCCAACCTAAATATGCAGACAGTAATTTCATTTTGTAGATCCATTTCTATATTTTTTTTGATATTCGTCGTTAATGAAAGAAAGTGTTCTCCAGTAAGAGAGTTTAAATAAAAACTTGCACCCAAAAAAAAAAATATTTTTAATTTTTTATGTCTGTACTTATGTACTCTCATCATTTTTTCCTAACGCGATAAAAGGAGTACAACTTCAAAAAATGTTTGCTTACTATTTTTCCATTACTAAACAAAAAATGTGCGAAACATTCAAAGGAAAGAAGAAAGAAAATAGTTACAATGAAAATATTTAGAGCATACACAAAGTTTTTTTCAGGCATAAACTGGAAGAAAAAACGGTTTAGAAGTGATAAGACAAGTGTCTTGTTCCATTACTTCAAAGTAAAACATTGGTGAATATTGTGTTATTCAACATTTTATGTATTTGTAGTACAAACTAAATGGGAAAAAGTGATTTTGGTGTAATTAATTGTTCATACCTCCCGGAACTCTTATCACCAATATATATAATTTTAATTAAGAGGCAAAAATAGCGCTAAAAGCGGGCGATGCACGTCCCGCAGGCGCTAACCGATACGGATCTTTGAACGAGGAGAATTATTTTAACCCATTAAATATCAAATATACATTTACAAATGTATAACTTGTAAAAATCAGTTAACTAACTGAAGTATGTATATCGCTTGAAATAATCACAGAAAAAAATTTTTTCCCTTGGATTTTCGTTCATTCAACTGGCTAGAAGCTATGTGCTATGCTATGCCAGAAAAAGGATCTTGTGACCCAGACTATAAGTATACATAGATAAATTTGTCCCAGAGACACCATATTGTTTCAATATTCATCTCAACACAAAAGATTGTTTTTGTTGTATATTAGTGGGAATATGTCTCTCTTTGGATTTTAATATCAGGCAAAAAGTGAATAATGGAACCAAAAAATGTTTTGTTGTTCTGATGACTTTGCCCAATTCAGACTATATTCGCGTTCAAGAGAGCTATATATCTCAACCCGACTCGAAAGCATGTATTGTATTTCTTTCGGTGGAATCCGAAAGAAATACTCAAGGAATTTATTTATAATGGCACAACATATACCTTCGCATCGGTTCGCTTTATTCTAACAACCAGGTAAAAACAAAGAATTTAGAAAACCGCTATTGTCCAACGGTAGCATTGCTTCGTAATTGCAGTAAATAAATAATTGAGGTTGAATATATGACAGAAAAATATGTTCATGATATACGTTGATTGTTCGTGAGAAGACAAAATCCTCTTTCAGTTATTTCAAAATGCCATTTTCATGTCTTATGTAGGTTTGTATAAAATATCTCAGTGTTCGTTTACTACTGAGGACTCAATCAATATATCATTCAAAGTCAGTACTGATCTTTATTATCATGTGAATTTGTTGTCAGTTATTCTACAAACGTGTTTCGAACAAGCGGTATAGAGACATAATATGTAGCAATCTTTAAAAAATATAACCTCACTTTCATTAGTCAGGTTATCTGATCAGCTTTTAAAGCTGAAGATACTCCCATCATTAGGGGCGGAGTTTACCACAAACCACCTAAGGTGATGAATTCCTCATAGAAATGTACCGAATTCAACGGAACAACTTTCAACCCACCTTCTGGCAGATACAACCAATACTTATGTTGTAGTTCTCATATAAAATTATAATAATGTAATGCACCGTCTGGAACGTTTATAACTTTACTATCTCAACCCTTTGGGTTATTCCCAGTGAACTGTGAGAAAATTATTGAATTCAATTCGAGTGAAAATTCACTACATGTATTCGTTACTCTAGATTCAAAGAATAATTAGGAAAAAAAACCTTTGTGGCTTTCTATATCTCCATTAATCTATTGAGAATGGAAACATTTCAAAGAAAATGAGAAAAAATAAAAAATATCAAGAAAATCTCCGTAACATATAATGATAATGATGTTGGAGACGTATCTGAATTGAAAGTCCAAGTTGAGATGAAAATGAATTAATAATTAACAATAAGTGAAATGTCAAATATACAGGGTGTAACATAAGTACGTTAAAATATTCAAGTGACGAATTCCTGAGACAATTTTAAGAAAGTCTATATGAGCTTGTGTCCGAAAATGTTTCGTTTCGGAGATACGGGGTGTTGAAATTGATTTTTTTTGTTCGCTTTTTGAAAATAACTCTTGCAAAAAATAAGTTATTTGCACGAAATTCGGTACCCGGGAGTTTTTTGATGTGGGAAATCATAATTTCGTATTAATTTTCATGTAACTTCTAGAGGGCGCTGCGTACGCTGTCATTATTTATTTCAAATTGCTCTAACTTTTTTGACAGTAAACTTTTGGAACTTTTCATGAAAAAACCTAATTCCTACACCTTTTCCAAGTTAAAAAGGTACAACTCCTCAGCAACGCTAGAGGAGATCGTTTTTGAGATATTTACAATTTTCTATATCGATGCATATTACTTTATAGCCAAATTTGATTTCAATGATTTTTGTCACTCTCCGCTTGCAAATTAAGTTAATTAAATCGAGTAGGCTATGCAAGTTTGTTTATAAAAATAGAAGTTCGCTGTCACATTTTCAACTAATAATTGACAAATTCACAGTTCGGAGTTTATAAAGAGATTTTTTGGTACCATGCCCGACTTTACGAATGCTGAAATGGCTGATATGGTTTTTGCATACGGCTTGGCTGACGGAAATTCAAGCGAGGCCAGACGCATCTATCAGGAAAGGTATCCCCAACGCGTGACTCCTTGTGCAGCGAAATTTGCGAATCTTTTTCGGCGACTTTCCGAATCTGAAAGCTTTGAAACAAATTCTGCAGTAGGACGGCCACGAACTACAAGAACTGTAGAATTGGAGGAGGCGGTTCTCGAAGAAATTGGTGAACATCCAGAGACAAGTACAAGAAAAATTAGTCAAACTTCAAACGTGAGTCACATGACAGTTTACAGAATGTTAAAGGAACAGCAATTATATCCTCATCATATTCAGCGTGTCCAGGCGCTTACGCTACATGATTTCCAACCACATATCGAATTTGCTCAATGGCTCCAAAGAAAAGTCGAACAACATCCGCAAATTTTATCGAAAGTCCTCTTCGCAGATGAAGCTAATTTTTCAAGAAATGGTATCATGAACTTCCATAACAACCACATCTGGGCGGAAGATAACCCACATTCGATAACGCAAACTCATTTCCAAGACATATTCTCTTTTATAATTGGGGATTATTTAATTGGGCCCTATTTTCTATCCTTACGTTTGAATGGAGATGCTCACCTACATTTTTTGGAACACGAGCTTCCCCAACTTATGGAAGATGTTCCCATTGGTCTCCGAAATCACTCCTGGTGATAGGATAGATAGTTAGGAAGAGGAGGTACTGAGCATTGGCCCCCGAGGTCACCGGACCTCAATCCCGTCGATTTTTTTTGAGGACACCTAAAACCACTAGTTTATACTAGCTTCATCGAAAACGAGGAAATGTTGAGGGATCGCATCATAGCTTACTGCGAAACGATAAGAAACACTCCGGGCATTTTTCAACGGGTGCGGAATTCTTTGATGAGGAGAGCAGAAGCTTGTATTACTCTTGGGGGCCGTCACTTTGAAAAGTTGTAATATGCATCGATATAGAAAATTGTAAATATCTCGAAAACGATCTCCTCCAGCGTTGTTAACGAAGTGTACCTTTTTTAGTTGGAAAAGGTGTGGGAATTAGGTTTTTTCATGAAAAGTACCAAAAGTTTACTGTCAAAAAAGATAGGGCAATTTGAAATAAATAATGACAGTGTACGCAGCGCCTTCTAGATGTTACATGAAAAGTAATACGAAATTATGATTTCCCACGTCAAAAAAACCCGGAGTACCGAATTTTGTGCAAATAACTTATTTTCTGCAAGAGTTATTTTCAAAAAGCGAACAAAAAAATTCCATTTCAACACCCCGTATCTCCAAAACGAAGCATTTTCGGACACAAGTTCATATAGACACATAAGGTAATTGATGACAAATGCAAAAAATTAAAAAATAAGAAAAATGTGAGGGAAGACTTCAACCCAAGTTATTCCACGACGTTTCGATTGTAAGTATACACAATCATCTTCGGGTCATAGTAGTAGTTTCCACCACTTACAAAATCCAATAACCTATTCATCATGGGCTTCTAGAAATGAATTCCGAAATTGTCAATGATCCCAGTTATTAGAGTTCGTGTGAAGAACTTATGTTCTAGTAGAAGCAGATCTTTCCGGAAAAAAATATCCAAATGTAAAATCACTCATGCTCTAAAACCACGATCTGAAAGAACTGTAGATGTCAATTGAGAGAAACTCAAACGTACATGCCCAGTCATGAAGGAAGAAAATACATATCAAGTTGTTCTTCACCCAGATGAAAATCCACATATGAATTGAGCTGAACAGGGAATTGGAATTATCCTAAATCAGCATGTTTCGAATAAAAGGGCATCCAATTTCATCTTTATTACATGTATTTTTGCAGAGTTGGAAGAAATAAATTTTGAGAAACGTGTGCAATTTAGCCGATGAGGGTGATGAGGATTAGCGAAGATCAATCGATATAATGATTTTTTCGAATCAATATTATTTTCTGATGGAAAGTAAGTAATTCCTAATAACTATTACCATACAATTAAAACTCCATATTTTGTTGGTTTCATGAACCATCAGTGGTTTGCGGCGTTTGGAGTGGAGTGGAGGAAAACGAGTTGGCAGTCACTATTTTTTTGATCGACACGGAAGGAACTGTCAGATGTTTTCAGCAAGAGCTTTTAAAATTATTGGACGTGTTAGGAACCACACGTTAAAAGGTAAGATCTTGTTAGTCTTTAGCTCGCACAAGTTTCTCAACTTCTGAGAGTTGTCGTTCGTATGGAGGCGACAGCTGATTAACGGAAAAACAGATTTTAAACGGATGTTCCATATAAAACAAGATTCACAATATGGCTACAAGTGCACCAGTACATTTCGAAACTGAGATATGAAAATGATAATTTTTATCATAAATGGATTGGCAGAGGTGAACCAATGGTTCGGCCATCCAGAACACCTGACCTAACCTATGGAGGTGAACTGAAAGAATTATCTACCAAACTCCTTTCATATCTATTGAAGATATTAAACCAAGAATCACTACATATTTTAAGAAAATCACAGGAGAAATGCAATTCATGCATAGACGTCCTGCCTTGTTAGGAACTACGTGACTAGTGTTGAGTATTATAAGATACTCTATGCATACTGTTTTCGCTTGAAATTTTAGGTAAATATCAAAAAAAGTAGAGGAATTGTTAACATTTAAAAAGTAAAAGTATTACTACAAAATATTTTTTTCTGGAATAACTAGGTGATGCTGCAATAGAAATAAAAAAAAAATATAATTATCAGTAAGCTTTAAAAATATATAAACAAATGGTATAGTGTTCAATTTGAAAAATCATAACTTTGACTACGCTCCTGTGAGTCACCCTGTATGTGAGAATATAAATCAAAGAGATGATCTTGATCGTTCTGTTCAAAAAATTATTTCATCCGAAAGCACTAAACCAAGGAAATCTGTCTTTCAACTAGACTGAAAATTATCAACTAATAAACTGAAAACATTTCAACTCAATCCAACATCTAATACAGAATCATACAAAGTTTGATTTTAGAAGTTTCACTTCTAAAACTACCAGATATCCCGTCATTAAGAGATATCTTCAAATTTATCAGGGCCCTATTTCATGTCTGTTGCTCATTACCGGAAATAAGAGACTCTGTTTTTCATTCATGGAGTCTTGAGTGGTTTTCGAAAAGATAGTATTTTTATCAGTGAATGCCGTCGAACTCTAATTTAAATGGATATGAAACTAAAGTATTTATGATTTCAAGTTGAGATCGTGTTTGAGGTTTCAAAAATATGATGGTGATCATTACCTTCGGAGATTAGAACACGATGACAAGTCATTTTTGATGAATACTAACAAAGGCGCAATAAGAATTTAATTGGTTTTTGAATTAATAACAGATCATGATTGGCAGAAACGGTAGATGAGTCAACAAAGAATTTCCAATTCTATTATCAAATCTCACGTGATTACAAAATTTGATTCTTTTCTATTCAAAAAAGGGTTATATTTCGAAACATAAAACGCATATATTTCATTAGTTCGGACTCCCATTGTCTAAAAACGGTTGGAATTTCTGGTACGAAAGAGTTGTAAATATTAAAATTGCTTAAGATTATGTAATTATAATGTTAATTGATGATATTCTGAAAAAACCTCGTTGAAAAGATGTTCCTGGAAAACTGACCTTCTCTCGTAATTGTGCTGTGTAAAGATGATAATTTCAAATGTGTATTTACTTTATCATTGGAATGTCAAGAACCAACATTCCACTCAAAGTAAGTAAATATGTATGCTTCACCAATGGACGCATCCGATGTTCCTTGCATGTTATGTATTTGCTTGAACAATATATAACATATTCAGCGGCATTTTCGAACGTTTTTTCTTCGTTCTTCAATATAGATCTACTATCAAAAACAATACTATCTGGTTTACATCAATCTACCAAATCGTTACATTATACAGGAACAACCAGTTAACATGAAAACATTGTAATGTTATGTAGTCGAAATTCATACAACTGTCTTTTTCCAACATCAACAAAAGTGCCCATATATGAGTCGATCGGATATCTTAGATATTCCGTCAGATAAGGTTATACGGTGAATTTCTCTTTTATGGAAATTGATGAAACTTGGTAAACCCTTAAAATTCCATTAACGTCCTATTGGGTTGCTAAACTGCCCGGACAGAAATTTATTTCAATGTTTTATTCTTCACGGTGAAAATAGGTAACAGTATTTATAAACTGTATAACGATTCATGCATAGACGTCCTGCCTTGTTAGGAACTACGTGACTAGTGTTGAGTATTAGAATATACTCCTATGCATACTGTTTTCGCTTAAAATTTTAGGTAAATATCAAAAAGTGCTCTAGGTCCTTCTGCATTATTGGAGAGGAATATAATATCCTTTACATTTTCATAACCTAGCAAAGACGCCACATAAAAAAGTAGATTGTATCATAAATTATTAATTACAATAGATAAAATAAAAAATCTCCTCAATGTAGAGGTGAAACACCCATCAGAAGATTGTTAATTGGTCAATTTCACAACGTTGTGTATACCCCCTTCAAAAAATCTAATCCCACCATTTCTTCATTGCTCCAGGCCAAACAGATTACAAAAAGTGAAGAACGGATGTATGCAAAGATTGTTTTGATCAACCATAATTCACCTCAATTTACTCAAACTTACTGTACGATGAAAGTTTCAGGAAATCTATCAGGTATCAGTGTTATTAAAAACCACTATAATATTTGGTGACAATGGTGTTATAAGTTGTACCAAAGACCCAATTAGAAGAGCAGTAAACAGTGAACATCCTAATCAACAATTACAATAAATGTCACTATTACTATTTAGTAAGGCTCTGAGCGAAGCAATCCTAGGGGATGAAGTAATGTAGTACCGTGTACCTTCAAATCTCCTGGAGACGATGGTATATTTCCATCTCTTCTTTAAAACGGACTAGAAATCTTTTTACTCATTCTCATAAAATTATATAGGGCTGATCTGGCGTGGAACTATATACCACCAAGTTGGTTGGCAGCAAGGGTGGTATATATACCTAAAGTGGGTCGGAAAGACCTACACCCTAAATCGGTACGACTAATCATCCTTCCTGTTGATAGGACTTGAGAGGATACTCGACGGACATATCAGGAGGGTGGCATTACATGCATTCCCCCTGAATAACTACCAGTACCTAAGCTTATCAAACTGGCAAACCGACAGATTTAGCATTAAACAACCTTGTAGAGAAAATCTCCCAATCCCTTGACAACAAGGAGATTGCGGTTGCTGTATTTCTCGATATTGAAAGAGCATTTAACAATACACTACCTCAATGTATAGGATCGTCTGTGACTAGGAAAGGTATAGAACCGACCATAACTGGCTGCCATGCTGGTAAAGAAAACTGCAACTACGACTCTTCAAAGCGCGACCATTAGGTTCAGGGTTACCAGAGGCTGCCCTCAGGGTGGGGCACTATCTCGCCTTTCTGTGGTCGTTCCTGATGGATAGTCTGCTTGATGTCCTCGATAGAAATAAGTAGGTCTGCAAGCTTATGCAGATTACCTTGTCATTATGGTAAGGTGACGTCGGAAAAAATAGCTTTCATATCCTCCAAAGCACGATGAACGTTGTTCACAGTTGGTGCCTGAGGGAGCAGATGTCTGCCAACCCCAGCAAAACTGTGATAATCCCCTTCACCTGGAGGAAAAAATTGGACGATCTAACGCCACTTTCCCTCAATAGAGAGGTCATTCCATTTGGAACGGAGGTGAAATATCTTGGCATTGTCGTTGATAAAAGATCACCTGGAACGTTCACTTGGAAACAGTTCTACACAAAGCAAGACTGCCCCTAAGGAAATGTCGAAGGATTTGTGGTAAAACTTGGGGTCTAGGTCCCAAAAAAATCCATTGGATTTATGTGATGAATGTCAGACCAATGATCTCTTATGGTGCAATTGCCTAGTGGCCGAAAGCTTTACAGAAAACGTCCCAGGCGAAGCTCTCTGACTTACAGAGACAGGCTTGTCTGGCCATCAGTACCACACCGTCAAAAAAATTATTTCCGCAATTACAGGCTGTAAACTGATAAATTGATGAGGTAGAAAAATCATGATTCTCATTAGACGAAACAAAGAAAAACATTTATTACCAATATATTGCTTCGCTGACGACATCACACTTCGGCTGCGGATGCAGCAGTAAGTTGTATATCTTAATGGGGATCTAGGAGTAATTTCGAATTGGGGTGAAACTAACCAGGTTCAATTCGATACCACAAAAACCCAGGCATCGGTTATCTAATTCATTATCTAACGGAGGTATATAGTCAAACAATATCTCCGAACCGGATATAACGATGTCAGGTCAGACAATTCCGCTTTCTGCTTCGATAAGTTTGTTAGGGGGTTCAAATGGACACCAATATGTCTAGTCACAATCATGTATCTGGAATTGCAAAGGCTGCTTCTCAAAAGCTCGGAATACTGTTCCAAACCAGAAAGCTGTACACTCAGCAAGTTTTGATGCTTTACCAGTTTAAGACTCAGATCAGATCTCCTGTGGATTATTGTTCTCCGCCCCTAAGCATACCCTGAAGCTGCTGGATTCTGTCCAGAAAAGAGCCTTTCGCCTGATTGGCGACAGGAACATCACTTGCAGACTTGATGGTCTGGAATATCAAAGCAAGGTTGGAGATTTGTCTCTTTTTTATAGATATTTTTAAGGGAAGTGTTCAAGTGACGTGGCATATTTGATTCCACAAAGAGCGGTACATATCAGAAATACGCGACGGACTGTGGCTGCTAATCGTTTCAAGGTTCAACTCACTACACCTAGAACTTCACTGTTCAAAAACTCTTTCATTTGGAGGACTGCGTTTATGTGAAATAAACTTCCTGAGAACGTTTTTCCAAATGGATTTATTCTCCAGCGATTCAAATACAATGTGAATCGCTATTTCCGCACAGGCACCGCTCTAAGAGCGCCTTAAAGATTTTCCTGTACTGCTTGTGTTTTATCCTTGAAAAAAATTGAAAATTTGATTTCTCATTTTCATAATGATGTCCTACCACGTAGTAATACTCGTAGTAATACTTTTACCACGTAGTATTACTTTTGGATTAATTTTATTAATTCAAACCATTATAATTGCTTCAATTACAAGAACTATAAGAATAACTTTTTGATTTTCATATATTTTGTTTTTAATTATAATTGGTGGAATATTAATTTTATTTTTTTACATAACTAGAGTTGCATCTAATGAAAAATTCAGATTTTCATCTATACTTTTTATTTCTATTCTTCTATTAATTATAGTTTCTTTATTATTTAATTGTTACGTAGTAATACTCGTAGATACGTGACATATTTTTGAAGTAAATAACGTTTTGAAATAAAGAAAGAGCAACTAAACAATTTTCAAAAAAGTCCATACTCTACTCTATTTTTCAACATAATTCCCACTATTCTCAAGGCACATATGTTATCGTAGGGCCAACTTTTATATGCCATCGTCAAAGAAGGTTGCCGTCTGATTATAGACACCACTGCAACATGGTCGTTTTGGTCATCTTTGTGGCGCTGCTCAGTCAGAACCGTCTTCAATTGCAGCAAAAATGATAGTCACTTGGTGCTAGATGGGGACTGTATGGAGGGTGGTCCAGTTGTTCCCAGCTGAATGAAGGTCTCTCACTTCGTTTCTTATCTTGAATATTTGTGCAGCCATCACTTGAAGCTCCAACCCATGAAACGAATAACAGCACGCATTTCACAGGTGGTGGGAATCACTTTCGGCGGCGGCATTTCAAACATGACTCGCATATTATTAAAGATACATTTGTTGATGCCATCAGCATTGATTATACTGAAGACTAATACAAATGACATATTTTTTCTGATTGAATTTTATTTAATTAGGTTCAGAGGCGAACGTTTCTTTCTAGAGCGGCTGCGTCACCCTCGCTTTCCCTGAATTTATCTTTTTGAAATGTATTTTCTTCAAAAATATTGAGAATTTTATGTTGTCAGGTTTTTATAGCTGTGGAGGAAGTTGAGTAACTATCCCATCATCTACCTACTTTTTCTTGAGAAATCAGTTATGTACCAACAATTCCTAGATTCAAGAACAGCCTATTGCGATGATGTAGCATTCATTCAACGCCTACCTAAATATCTGTGATAGGTACTTTGATTTTTCAAAACCTTTTAATCCTCTATTTGGCATAAATAACCATTTAATAATTGATTATACAAGAATAAATACAATTATCATAGATAAAAAAGAATGCTAATAATACCTTCACTACTCAACCAAAAAAATAGCAAACTGAAATTTCAGAATGAGTTGCCACTCACTTAACGAATGTTTTTGAGGTAAAATTATGTTGACTGAATCACTTTGTTGATGAATAGTCACCAAATTTTGTATTCATCACACACAAAAATAACGAATCCATCGCAAGAAAGTTGCGTATGTCGAGTTGCCTCGGCTACATATAAACTATTCGAATTTAATCTTTGGCAGAAGATTCTTGGGTGGTACTACCTGTACAGGTAGGCCAACTTCATTCTGACTTGCTTATACTTGGATCTAAACATTTAACGCTAGGATGATGGCGACATCGCATGATACCATATAACAATTGTGATACATATGTATTAGATCTTTCATCATAATTTAATACACTTTGTTTCTTTTTCTGATCTAATTCCACTCGGTTGTAGAATTCGTGTTGGATTTCATGAATTATAGAACAACTCCGTTAAAAAATGGAATTTCTTCTGGTGAACCAAATGACGTGTTTGGGAGATACACCTTCAAAATATTAATAAGGCTTAGCGTGTCAGTCGTTTGTTTTACTTAGGAGTATAGTTGTTGGGTAACGTTGAAATATCTTTATAGCTATAAATACTCATTATGATATAGTTTTTTGGTCGACATCGTACTAAGACGAAGACATAGTATTAATTCATATAAGAAATGAAGAATTAGTATATTATAAAAATAGTTTATGGTGCAGGAGATAATTGTATGAGTGATTTTTGGGGCGTTTTATTATTGCATTCGTTATTTAAGCCTATCATAATGCTTTTCAATAAATAATTTAGCATAAAAATGTTTCAATTTTGTTCAATCGAAAATATTTTGGAAGTTACCTCTGAAATATCAAACATACTTCGAGTCATTTGTAAAATTCTGAATATATTTCTGAATTTGAGGAATAATGGGAGAGATGTACAACATAAAATGCAATAAATTCACCGAATTGACGCGGTACAAAAATGCCGAAAACATTGAAGTTGAAGTAGTTTCGCTGACCTAATACACAATTTTTTGCACAGATCCGTCACTTTGTGACCCAGATTTGTCACTTAACGGTACAGGTACAGGAATTATCGATAATTTCGTAATGTAAGGTACCCCGTAGTTAGTAATTGAAAACCAAATTTTCAGATTGCCTACTCATGAAATTGCTCTGTTTCTCAGCAATTATTTGTACCTATCTTACTAGGGAAAATTCTATGCATGTTGAAAGGTAAAACGTCGTTAATTCTTTGCTCGCACGAGTCTTCACAGGGTTGTTGTTCGTGGGACGACAGCTGGTTAACGGTAAAACTCATTTTCAATATTGGAATGCTCTATCAAAAAGTTTCAAAAATTTCCGGGAACGGATGAAAATATTTTCGAGAAATTCGTACTCCTACGAAGTGGATTTGAAGCAGAGGAATGTAATGAACACAATATAAATTATACTAGTATGCCATCTTTCTTTCAGGAGATACACCCTTTCATAGTTTGCGCTTGTTTTTCAGTTTGCCCAAAGTTGGATTTCAACCAAAGAAATCTTTCCGGAAACTGTAGTACATTTGTATTGCTGAGAGTGAATGCAAGAATGCCAGTACGTCAAAGGAAGCAACACAGTCGTCTCAAGCAAGTGGCACTGCAATTCATCCACAAAGTCACTAAGCTATTTGTACCCGCCATGCCCCTTGAGAACGCCGCTAACGAGCCATTAAAATAGTGACTTGCGACAAACAACGTCAAAAGATGCGGCCGAGGTTTTTTCTTGGTAGATTGATAATAACATTACCCTGAGGTGGATCAAAGGGTACGGCAGAAGTAAAAGTAATCGCATTGGAGACTTCTTGGCAAGGAAGCGGCTGGACTAAAAATTTTGGGACCCAGTGGTACCTATGGTCTGATGACTTCGACAATTGCGGAACTAGTCAAACGTCACACCCATGCTGAAGAGATGGGATGAAATCAAAGGATGCAATCTTGTCAGGACCACCCTGGGCAACCCTGGGAAGCTGGCGCCGAAGAAATATCTGGCGATGACCAGGAAAAATCTACGCTTAACAGTAGGATTTCTGACTGGCCACTGTCAACTAACGAAACACCTCCATAATATGGGGCTAGTGGACACATCTCTATGCAGAATGTGTGAATAGGAAGATGAAACTGTCAGGCATGTCCTATGCGTATGTCCGGAGTTACTGTCAAAGAGACCTGGCCTACACCTGCCGATATAAAGGAGATGTCTCCCAGAGACCCGTCCACCTTCCTGGAAAGGACAGGATGGACGATTACCTAGGAGAACAACTCCTCAGGAGGATGTACGATGGGTCACATGTGGCCTAAGTGCTATGGGCCTACACTCACTCTCCCAACTCTACAGATACAGAGATGCCCCTTAAGAACGCCGCTAACGAGCCATTAAAATAGTGACTTGCGAGAAACAACGTCAAAAGATGCGGCCGAGGCTTTTTCTCCTGATAGATTGTAGGTATATTTTTGTATATACATATATTTTATGAATGAAGGTATTTAACAAAAATATTGTGTTATAGATAGTATTAATAGGTGTGGGACCGTGGGTATTAGTATAAATTTTCCAAAGATATATTCTGTATGATTCGAAGATAATTGAAATATAGTGAAACTAATTTGTTACAAAGAATCTTAACACTGATGAGTTGTCTCCAGTCCAAAGGGAAATCGATCATATTTGTTTAGGTTCCTAGTCATATAGGAATTGACGGTAATGAGAAAGCTGACACTGCAGCAAGAGCTGCAACTGAGAATAATGTCAATATGAATATACCTGTGAGTCCAAATGACACAAAGAAATTCATAAAAAACTCAATACTCAACACATGGCAACACGAATGGACAAACAACGATTCAAAATTGAAAGATATCAAACCTGATATTGCAGCCATAAGACTTCCACAAGGCCTAACGAGAAGAAAACAAGTCATAATAACACGACTTAGGATATGACATACGAACTTGACATCCTCTTATATACTGAGAAGACAAAGACAACCATCCTGTGAAAATTGCCAAACTTTGATGACGGTTAAACACCTTCTCTTAGAATGCCACCAATATGAAGCCGATCGACAACGATATAACTTACCGGATAATATCAGAACTTGCCTCAGTACCAAAGCTATAAGAAATGTTTTGAACTTTCTGAAAGCAACAGACCTTCTCAACAAAACATAAACAGTTATCGTATACTACAAAATGTCTAATGACCTCAGTAGTCGATGGCAGAATAATAATTAAAAAAAAAAACGTCGTAAAAACGTAAATGAATCACTAGCAGATAGCAGATATCACTCAAGGTATATTCAGGCAGTTATCGAAGATTTTAGAAGGTGTATACACAAAATTTATAAATGAACAAGTCAGAAAAAACATGTGTTAAGTACAATAAAAAAGTACATATATACAAGAGAGAATTCATTGGTATATGTCAAAAAAGATATTATGCTAAAAAAAATTTTTCCATGTTAGTCCTGGGTGAAATAGAAGAACAACAAGAATCTTGTTTGAATTGAAAGTGGTTTATTTTTAGGAGAGATTACTTTTTGGGAAACACTGGTTTTGTCTTTCTATTTCTCCATCCTCGTACAAAAAATATGGGAATCTTTTAGAGAAAGGAAGAAAAGCAATCAATTTCAAAATAAATTCTTCACAAAGATCTGTATACCATGCCAAGAAGTAGGTGGTAACTTTCAGACAGAAAATGAAAGAAAAATCCCTCTCGAAACGCTACTTCCACATTGAATTACATGAAAGAAAATTACTTTTGGAACAACTCATTTGACTCAACTCATGCGTTATGTTGCCCACGCCTCACTTCGTGAATGAGTCGAAGACAAAAAATTTTGCGTGTCGCATAATAAAATCCGGTAAAACAAATGAATTAATCACATAACTTTGATTTCACTTTTTGATTCGAATTTGATCGAGGGCTGTAAGTGAGTTTCAGATTTATGAAAGCTAACTGGCGAATGTTCTGAAGATGGTTTTTTTGGGTTGATACTCTGTCTTCTTCCAATCAAATAACGTTTGAAGAATGTAAGTTCAAATGAGAAGTGGCAAATAATTTGGAGAAATTTAAAAAAATTAGTAATGTTTCCTGCTTTTCATGACTTCCCATCATTATATTATCGGTTATGTCCAATAATACTTTTTCACAACAACACCCTGTGCGAAACCGTGTTATTCGGATAATATACTATAGCAAGAGATGTAGGTAATTTCGGAGCTGAGAATCGGTTACGGTTCCCAACACTTTGGGAATTGCCGGCAATGATCTTGAATTTTTGTAATAATCGTATGGTGGTTTCGTAATATCGACAAGACTGATATTTATGATGCACTGTTGGGAACCTTTGGTGTAGTAATGAATATTACTGAAGTTTTTTCCCAACACCAAATCGTTATTTTCAACACCTCGACACGTGTTTCGATCACCAAATGATCATCTCCAACGAGGAAGATTAAAACTAGAAACTGATGCGAGCTAACCCTATTTATGCTATTATAGGTATCCCATACAGGTGAACCATCCAGGCGTACCACCCATACAGGTATACCAAT